TTTGATTCTAATCTTGGATGTGTTGACATGCACCACAATCTACTAGTGTGCATGATCTACTATGTGCAAGCTCAGGTAACTTTTCAGTACATCTGGAGGTGGGTGTCCACCTGTCTGAGATGGGAATGAAACCTAATGACTGCAAATTGTTATGAAATTCATAACTACTCCGTTTAATCATTAATATAAGTAGTTAGTTCTCCGAGATAAAATGAAGTACTGCATATAGAGGAAATGGTGCCTGTATAGCCCAATACATTGAGCATACCACTGAGAATCAGGAAAGCAGGATTCTATCCTAATTTCTGTCCCTAACTCTGTGACACCTTGGTCAGGTCTGCATCATTTTGTGATGGAATACTCAAGAGTCTGAGTTAAAATTGGTTCTGTTTATTGCCAGAATCATGTAACTTTTTGTTCTTCTTCTCTTTACAAGAGAATATGTGAGAATAATTGAGATTTAGGGTAAGAAAAATGTAGTTCTTAGAGTGAGATTCCAGTAGCATCACTCCAAACTTTAGATATTCAGTGTATTATACTTCAGTGCTCAGATCATACATGTTCCAGCAAAGGAGAAAGGTCTACCTCTCTTTGAACTATGCATGGAATAATTCAAACCAATTTTCAAAACAGGAAATATTAAAAAACAAAACAACCCCCCCACCCCCGAAAGTATGAATCTTTTGAAATTAGCATTCTTCAAGAACAGTTTGTCTGTTACAGATGAATTGATGAGAAGATGCCTTATCTCAGACAGTAGGAACTGAATGTTATTTTTTAAAACCATTGCTAGAAAATGTATAGATAATTTTGATAAGAGGAATAACCAACTCCTTCTTTCTTCCATGCCATGAATTTTCTGAAATCTTTGTTTCAATCAGATACGTTGAGGCAGCACAAACTATTTTCAGCTTTTCCTCTTCAAAGTGAGTACATAACCAAACAGCCATATAAAGATATGCAGTACATTCAACCTCTACCCCCCACGCATACGGTACATTTTCTTATGGCGATGTGATAAATGCAGAAATGCTTGATTTATCTCCCCATAAAATTACAGTGACAAACCTTACTTTAATATTGGGAAAGTCATGGTATGTTGGGCTGGGAGTAGGTTATGATATATCAGAGGGTACCCTGCAGTCCTGATCAAATTCTGCAGTTTACAGCCATACAGCCTCAGGTTTTAATCTCATCATAGTTGATAAACAAATCTGGACTGAGTGTGATAGCATGGTTTACCTCTTCCCAGAATCAGGTTCCAGCCATGACACAGTTTTTTGGGCTTAGGTTATTTGGTCTTCTGGCCAAATGAAATGTTCCCCTTCCAAGTTAAAGAAAAGTCCAGATATGATCAGGGATGCATGTCCTTCACCCCTCAATACAGGACAAATGTTTCCTTCACCCTCTCTAGGCTGAACTGTTCGATAGGTCTTTCGCTAGGGTCCACACTAGTCTTTTCCACTGTTGCAGAAGGGTAAGGGGCGGGGGCCTTCCTCCTGCCCTTTCTGGAAGTTGCAGGCTGGGGCCTCTAAACAAGGATAGGTGCAAACACCAGGCCTCAAGCCTACACCATAACCATATTGCCTCAGGCCTTTCCCTTCATATTGCCTTTAGGCCTCCTCCTGGGCTATCTCCCAGGCTTCCTTGCTGGGCTCCCTGGCCCCTTTCCTGGCAAGACCCCACAACAGCCGCTGCTCTTTCAAATCTCTCTTGTTTCCTGAAGACCATCCCCATCAACTGCTGCTACCCCTAAGTCTCTTCTTGTTCTGAGCAACAGGCAGCGCTTTTATACTCCTTCCTGGGTGGCCTTCCTATGGTAGCATGTGTATCATTAAATTTGGTCAGTGCCAATGACTCATTTCTTATGAAAAGCACCAGGGGATCTTTAGTGCCCAGCAGTGGTCAGGGCCTTCTTTCCCCCCCCCCCGATCTCATCCGAAAGTAGACACCTCCAGAAACAGTGTTGGATGCAGATCCAAACATTGCAGTTAGCCCCTAAGTCTTGAATGGGAAGTGCCAAAACCTTGGTACCAAACATCCCTGAACTTTGGAAAAGCTTGGATCTCAACTGAACTTTACCGCTTCAACCCATCTCTACCAAAAAAAGTAGTTAGATATTTACTGATGCCAAATTCCTTTTAGATTGCCCTCCTTATGTCATGCTTGTGAATGTACACTCCTATTGTGGCTATGCAATGACAATGTTTGGGAAGTATTATGATAGCACTGGCAGGGACAGTGTGTGTGTGTGTGAGAGAGAGAGAGAGAGATGGAAAATGTCAATTTGTCGAAGTTAAAACTTTTTGTGGGAACCCATCAGTGTCACGTTCTGGGTGCAATCCAGACTAGTGAGGGTTGGTGTCACTGAATGTCCTGTAACCCTGGGCACCTTAAATTGCTCTGCTGCTGTAGATCCCTTGTCTGGATGCAGCTAGTCAGGGCAGAAGAATGTACTGAGTGTCTATGTGATAAGTGGCCCTGGACCAGCAACTAAGATTCCAGCAGCTTGTTTGCTACACCCTAGCCACACTCTGGTCTCCACCAGCTTTGTGGTTACACCTGGCAAGATGACCCCAACGCCCCACAGTTCTGAATTTTCCCAAAACCATGTGCTCTACAACCTCCTGCCCTTTCCTTTCAGAGGAATAATAAAGTTTGTTTGTTCTTCTAAAGAAACAAAATAGGTTATCGTGATAAACTGGAGTTAACAATCACTTCCATTCAAACACAGCACTGTTTTGGTTCAAATGAAAAGTAAAACAAGTTTAATAGCAAAAGGTGCTAGGATTTTAAATGAGTTCCGTCACAAAGAATAGAGTTTATATGGGTACAAACAAAAGTGAAAAACACTTTCTAGAGACTAAAACTTAGCAAATTAGACTTGATTCAAGGTAAAAATCGTATCACGCTATCTTCCAGCAAGATGTCTGACCACGCAGCTGGTCAGGATCTTTCACCAAGACCAAAGTGTTTTTTAGGTGAAAGACAACTTGGGATTCTTTACCCCTCTCTTTCATAGTCCAGAATCCATTTAAAAGATGCAGTGAAGGTTACCTCCCCCCAAATTAAGCTGTGAGGAAAACAACATGGAGTCTGGTGGTGAAGGAATTTCAATGCTGGTTTCTTCCCCCTCTGGTGTTGACTAAAATGCAAATTGATCTGTTCCAGACCTCTGTGATGCAAATGAATGGCCACTTGCGATGTCAGCTTGTCCTTTGTGTGGGAGAAACCTGTTTACCCACTCTCCCAACTTGTCTGGTAAACACATTATAGTTCCATATTTCCTTCATATTTGTGTGGTCACTTGGTAATTACTGTACACACACCGTGCAAGAATATGTGGTAGTAGTTTTCCAGTGATACCTTACATGATACATATCAGATACAGTTTATGATATTAGCAAACTGGGGTGCATTGAACTGGTCACTGAAACTCACCAGATACCAGTGAGTCTCTTGCTCTGGGATGCAAGTTAGGGTCACCATCAAACTTCACCAGGAAGGGTTTCTCAGGTCTAGAATGGAATTGAGAGAGCAAGAGAGACCCCAGACTAGCCAATAGCTGCAGTGGTGGGGCATTCAACTGGGATGTGGGAGGCACAGGTTCAAGTGCCTACTTTGGAGCAGAGATTTCAACCCAGGTCTCCCACATTGATTCATTCTCTCTCTTTTCATGAAAAATGTTATAACGTTTCAGTTTCCTCTCAATGTGAAATGAGAAATATTTTGAAACCTCAGAAATGTTTGGAAGATGAGAAAATTGTTTCCTGCCCAGTTCAAATCAAGATAATGCATCAGCATGTAGTCCTACTGAATGGGGATATGTCCTCTAAACCTCTTCAGTGAGAGAATTTAATAATCTGCTAGTTTCCAGAAAGCAGTGAGATTATGACTAATGTTAATAAATATATATATATAAACAAACCCTCTGTGAAATGTGGAGCTTCCTCAATAACTCATCGAGCAACGAGGCAGCAATCTGAGACACTGTAATGTGATGTAGAGAAAGTCACACACTTGCTTTTCATGACCAGATTGTTCATTCATTCATTAAAAATTAAGCACATGTGGGAGCATATGGTACAATTCAGGTTGCAAACACTGGTGGGCATTTTTTTCTTTTTATGGTTTCTTCAGCCCTGTGCAGGCAGAATAGGGTAAAATAACTCCAATAAACTTATTATTAGTTCACAGTACTTCAGCCTATCGTTAATGCACCATTATTACAGTCACATAAATATCTCAAGTCCACAGTGTAGAATTTCAGGACTGTGGTGGTATCTCCATCAAAGTAGGATAGTATTTCTCAGGATTAGCTTTTACATAATCTTATTATACTTACAAGGCAAAATTGAAATTCTACAATATTTGTCTCCTTTTCTTGTAAAGCTAGCAGATTTTTTTTATTTTGGTGCAATTAAGATTTTTGCCTTTTTCCTTAATGCAATCCTGCTTCTTGGCAGAAAACCAGTGGAGATTTCTGTCTTTGCTCCAGCACAGCTACTCATTTGAGCAGCCTTACTGGCACTTGTGCATTTTTCTGTGGTGCTCTATATTGGAATTATAGTATGCCACAGTAGGGCTGAGATGAGTAGTAGGAGTTGAAGGAGGAACCATAGACTCTTTCATGATGGGTCAATAGACCAAATGAAGGTAACTCCGCTATCCCTGCAGTTCTGGCCACTGAGCTCTAAGGGCTCAATTTTGCTCCAGCTGGTGTGGGGAATTTGTGAATTGCACTGGCTTGCATGTAGGGAAGATTCTGATCTAATGATTTCAAGTTACTACCAAGCTAGATTGTGTTTAAACAGGTAACCTTTCCTAGTAGTCTGAAAGCTCTGGAGCCTATTACCAATCTACTGAGCCACCCCAATCTCTTTTATTCATATAACTGAATAATAACTCACATGTTGTTTTCATACTGTGAAATCAGGTGGATAGAAATTGTAATTCCAAATCAGCAACAGGCAGGTGATTTTGACTTTTTTTAATTGCAGGTATTTATGAGCCGCCATTTCTTATACTACTGCAGTGAACCTACCCTGGATGTGAAGATTGCCTTTTGTCAGGTGTGTGTTCCTTACAGGTAAAACAAGGTACAGTATATACTTGTACTTCCATATTTGCCATCTATATTATATTGACACTGTAGAATTACAGTAGAAGCCCAGTGCAGGATACTGAATTGGGAGAATTAACCAGAGCAAAAACACAATAGAAGTGCTTGATAATGCATCACAGAGTTTACTTTTTCACTTAGTTTGACGATCATAGTTTGGTTTTAATCATTTATGACTGTGCTTGTAATGGCTAGTGAATGTACTGGAGTAATTTTATACAAATAACAGTCTTAGGCCTTTTTACACACAATGTGGAATTGAAATAAAACTTGGTTTTAATTCACACCAATTTAAATTGAATCAAAATAGGACACTCTTAATCTCTGAGAAATAATCTCTTAAAAGTGTCCACATACAGACAAGCACAGAAATATCCAAAAGGATGAATGAAAACACATTTTTCTTATTTCCTTTCCCGCCTTTATATAGGTAAACCCTTTGTCCGGTAACACCTCACTACAGAACTGTTCTCTAACCTCACTGTATAACTCTCTGCTTTTACATCTTTGCTAAGAGATGAGGAAGAGTGACCAAATTTGTGCATGGAGTATAAAGTGTATGGTTTAATGAAATGTGTGTGATTGAGGTTCCGCTGTATTTAAGCAGCAGTGTAGCCAATTTTGTACTTTTAAAATTGATCTTGAAATTCAGTCGTGATGCTTTAAACTCTACAGGACTGAAACTAAATTCAGTAAATTAAGTGCAGAATGAAAGCGGATTAAGTTTTCCAGTTCTTGGTCCTGTTAGTTAGATTTGGGAAGTTTAGCATTCATACATGTTCACCAGCCACAAATCTTGGAGACATTTTCGTTATCTAGGTGAGCATGTTTTTTTTTCCTGTTCACTTCTCCTGTAGCGTGACTAGTGCTTGAGCGCTAGCTCTTCATTCATTTTTATGGTCTGATGGATCACCAGTAATCTGGGTGATCACAAGAATAATATGTGTTTCTTGATCGGTGAGAACAGTGTTGCATCCTTAGAAAGAGCATTAAAGGTATTACATTTAATACTTAACCAGCAAATGATTACACTGGGTCCAAGTAACTGAAATTCAAGAAAAAAAAAGTAATATTTGTTCTTTGGCAGCATTTAATACAAAGCAGCAAAAAGGTTGTTTTTTTCCCACAAATATCTTTTCCTGTTCTCTGCATTTCACCAGGCATTCAGGTTCAGGGTGGATCTGGACCATATAATTTCATTTTTCAATCTGACAGTCTGCTTCATACATTTTCTTTCCACCCATCCTCCTCTGCCCAAGGCATTTTGTCTCTCTTTGTTTCTCATCTACATATAGATCTTATTTGCTCAAATTCCCCTTGTACTATAACCATCTATGGCAGTTAGCAACATTTCATAATTCATCCAGACTCACTTTTTTGTCACCATCACAGAAAGTTACTATTACTTTTCATCCATAACTCCCTGACAGAGCTGGGGACACTCTTTCCATCAAAACGTTTGTACTGAAGCAAAATGACTTCTCAATGTAACTACATTTTCTGCCCCAAAAATCCCATTTTCAATTATTTTTTTATGTTTACAGTTGCCTAAAAAAAGTGGTTTTAGGTTTTTTACATCCCCTCGTCGAAGATTCCCCCCCCCACAATTATTTTTGTTACATTTTTCATTGGGGGATGGGGGAAAATCATTTTCTGACACTCTCTACTTCTTAACTCTATCTTCTCCCTGTCACTGAGACCCCAGTGTAAAGCTGTACAGGAATCTTTACATATAATTCTCCTCTCCCACTTGGAAGTATGCTGTATGCAATTATAATGCATTAATATACAAGAGAGGCATCTGACCACCTGCATTGTGATCCTTCAGTCTCAGATGAAATGACATCTCAAATGGTGTGTGCTTCTTACCCATCACACCTGATTTAGATTTGAGCAGGGGAAGGGTGGTGGTCACCTTTTTCTTTAATATTCAGAATTCCTCTTGTTAGACCAGTGATGCATGTCAATTAACGTTTTTTCTTGCTGGATACAAGGTTTTGGAAATAGATCTAATAGTGACAATGCTGCTGTAGTTATTCCTGTTCAGTTCATTTACTCTTATTAAAAAGGATTTGGAGACACATGTAGAACTGTATTTATGTGCAATGAATTGGACAAGCAAAATAAAACAAAAGTAACAACAACTCTGGCAGTATTTTTAACACTAAATGAAATTGATTGTGTTATAACTGTAGAAGGTTTCCAAAAAATAAATCATGCAGTAAGTGGTTGTGAACTGTGCCAGACTGACATACTGGAAATTGTAAACTGTATCCACAAAGCAGATACAACGCAAACAATAATTCAAGCTCCATCACATCGGTCCACCAACGTGCCTGAGCCTTGACCCTTTAAGGGTGGAAAGCAAGTTCAGTCTCCATGCTGAGTGAAAGTGATCATGAAAAGTGATCCATGATTCTAAGGAAAAGGAGTGAGAGTAGATGAAAAAGGACAATGGTTTCAAAAAAGCAGACTTCAACAAACTCCGGGAACTGGTAGATAGAGTCCCATGGGAAGAAAATCTAGGAGAAAAGGGGGTTCAGGAGATCTGGCAGTTTCTCAGGGACAATGTTAAAGGCACAACTTCCAACTATCCTGATGCAAGGGAAAGATGGGAAGAATACTAAGAGACCAGTATGGCTGCATCAGGATCTCTTTAAAGACCTGAAATGTAAAAGGAATCTTACAAACAGTGGAAACATGGACACATTGCTAAGGATGAGTACAGAAGAATAGCACAAGCATACAGGGAGAAAATCAGAAAGACTAAGGAAAAACTGAACTGCACCTAGGAGGACATACAAGGGAAAAATAGTTTTTATATGTACATTAGGAGCAAGAGACAGATGAAGGAAAGCATAGGTCCATTACTTAATTAGTGGAGTAGAAGAGCTAACAACAAACAATGCCAGGAAGGCTGAAAGTGTTTAACCTTCATCCAGTGTTGAGAAAAAGGTCACATTAACTGTGTTGTGGGAGACTTTTGTCCCTCAGATGCATTCAGAAACTAAGAACAACTCTTTAATGTTTTAGTGAAAAAATGTTAAGTAGCAAATTGAAAGAACTAGCTGGGGTCTCATTCAGTGTGAGCATCAGTGTAGAGTGGTCAGCATGTACAAATTCAGTGCTGTGACCGGGTGCCTGGGATGGGCCACGCTGAGAATGCCACAGTCAGGGCAGACTGCAAGAAATAGGGCAGACAGTCCCCAAAGCTATAATCAGATTCACCAATCCAGTAACAAAAGATCTTCTGCAGTACCACATTGGTTAACCAGAAGCCAAACACAGTCCCCCTTTAGGCATTCCTGCCATTGGCTCCCATCCAGACTAACAGGTCTAATATGGTAAGGGGTTATTGGAAAACCTAATTCACCATATGTGAGATTCTTGCTAATCACAAGGGATTAGACAATTATCCTTGGGTCAATATGCATCTCAGATTTTACAGAAATATCACGCTGTCAGCCAATCCTTAGTAAACTAACTAAAGATTTATGAATAAAAAGAAAAGAAGAGAGTTATACATAGTTAATAGATCATATACCTACAAATGACTGCAAAGTCCTTATGTCCGGTTCATAGCAGTGATGGAATAGCCCACTGGCTTGCAAAAGTCTCTCTGGTAACTTCCAAAAGATTGGAAGGTCCTCAATCCATAGTTCAAAATACTCGTTTTAGTTGTAAATCCACAGTCCAGAGTACTGGAGCAGGAAAGAAGCAAAATGGAGGCCTCTCAGGGGTCTTTTCATATCCCTTGCCATGTGCATGGAAATGTACTATCCCAAACAAAGCCCACAGCCCCTATGGAAAGTTAATGGCCCAAGATGGAGTCCAGGGTCACAAGAGCATATCACATGTCCTTACATGGTTTGCTGAATTACAAGGGATGGCCATTGGTCCTCACTGTCTGAGGCATCCAGAGGAAGAGCTGTCTGGATGGGATGAGTTTCTTCAATGGCCATTTGTGAAAGTGCAGTGTCCTTAATGGGCCATCAGTACATAGCAGCCTAGTCCTAATGTAAATCTATCTTGGGGGTGTCACTCAGGAACAAAACACATGTTGGCAATACAAATACATAGTCAATATTCATAACTTTACATACAAAATGTAATACATGGATGTAATCAGGATAATCATACTCAATAGATTGTAACTTTTCCATTGACACCTTACATGATACACTTTTTGCAAAATGTTTTGCAGTTGTATAACAGTGGTAATATCAGTTATGTAAATGCTCCTCTTCAATCATACAGCATCACAACTGCATTCTTCACACTGCTTGTGGCTTTTCCAGTTAGCTGACCTTGGGCACATGTGGCAGCCTCCACTGCTGAGTTTGCTAGGCCCTCTCCCAGTGGCTGGTTTTCAATTGTAGCAGCTTTGATGGGCATGGTGAGATGATGGGTATACACATTCATTTCTACATGTGCATCTGTAAGTTGTTCTAGACTGACAAGGAACAAGCACTTTCTTTGTCATGGTCAAATGTGGTGCCAAGCAGGATTGTTGCTGACCCAAATGATGAAACTTGCAGTGTCAGTAATATCAAGCATGTTGAAGAAAAGAATAAATGTCTACCTATTTGTCTTGTGCCTGCAAGACTACATTCTTGCAAGATGGTCTATGTTATCAACACCACTTTTGGCATCATTTGAGTGGAGAATTATGTAGCGTTTCTTTTTGTCTCTTTCTGCAATCTTATCATGATGCATTGTCAATAGAATTATTACTGACTTGCCCTTCTTGCAACATAGGGAACCAGTTTAGAGTAGCCCAGCAAACCTGAACACTGACATTTTTTTTCCTCGACTGCGATGTGGATGCATCTCACTGGCTTGTTTTGTGACATTGTTCCAACATAGGTCACATTTTTGTTGACTATATCTTCAGCAAGCTGAATACTGGTGAACAAATTACTCCCAACTACATTTTCCCCAATTTTATAACAGGGCTGAACACAAGCTGTTCATTGT